TTTTTGCAAAATTTATGTATTTTTTTCATTTATGTATTTTTATATTTTATTGTTTTTTATTATTTGTTTATGGCATTAAAGGTTAACACATTTAACCCAAAAGTTGAAATATTTATTATTAATTTTTATATTTAATTTTTGGTTAGTTCTAAATTATGTGCTTCATTTTCATTATCAATAAAATATTTCTTTTTTATTATACTTATTTTTTAATTTAATTAATAAAAATATCATAAATGTGTATAATTTTTATATTTTTTGCAATTTTCTATATTTACTTCTATTTTAAAAATTTTATTACCTAACTATGACTTTGTAGGTAGATTGATCAATTTGGTTGGGATGGTTGAATTGCTTAGCCACCACTTGGATAAAAAAATAGTTTTGTTTTTTAGTAAGTTTTAAAATATATGGTATTATATTATTAAAAATATTAGCATAGATCTAATTAGTAGAATTTATTAGTAAAAAATTAAAACTATTTGATTTAATAAAAGAAAGTGGGATTTAATACTTTAAATATAAGACTTAATGAGAGGGGGTTAAATGAGGTGGAAAATAATAATTGAAGTTACATTTTCAACCCCTACAATTAGAGATGAATTAAATGCACAAATATAGGCATTTTAGTGCCATTAAAGTTGGCATTAAAATGACTTTTATACCCTTTCTTAAATAAAGAAATAGAGGGTAATTTTAGTCCAGAAAAAGTTTCACATTGCATCCACACTTTTATATATAGTATAGATTTGTGTATCAGTTAAATCCTTTGTATTAGAACTTTGATGTCAGGTCAATTATCTCTTCTCACTTTGATTCGTCAATGGTCCGTTCTACCGCATTGTGCAATGGGAATGTGTAATCCTCTACCACTAATTCTACTTCTACCACATTTCATCCATACTTTTATTAACTTTTATTATTTATTTGTGGCATTAAAGGTTAACATGTTTGACCCAAAATTTTAACTATTGATTTTTGCCAAACAGTAAAATAATTTCATTTTGGTCAGTTCTAAATTATGTATTTCATTTTCATTTTTAATAAAAATAATTCTTGTTTATTAAACTTATTTTTTTTAAATTTGATTAATAAAACTATCATAAATGTGTCTACTTTTTCTCTACATTTTTTTGTAAGTTTCTATATTTATTTCTATTTTAAAAATTTTATTCCCTAACTATGACTTAATAGGTTGATCAATTTGATTTGGAGGGTAAAATTGCTTAGCCAACACTTGTATTAAAAATAGTTTTGTTTCTGAGTTAGTTTTGAAATATATGGGTTTATATTGTTAAAATTATTCACATAGATCTAGTTTAATAAGAGAAAATGGGAATTAATAATTTAAGTATAAGACTTAGGTGGCGTTCGGTATTGTGTTCACCTTGTGGATGGACCATTTTGGTCCACACCATGAGATGAACTCCCTATTGGTTGGTCATAGATGAGACCAGTCCACACTATATCGTTGACCATTCCTTTCCGCAGTCCAAAATCTCGGCCACACATATATCTCGTGGATATATGTTATATTAAAATCGGACGGTCAAACCGTTTTGGCCCGAGAACTAGTTAGGACATCCATTCTGTTTTGGCCCTAAACCGCCATTTTACAAAAAAAAAATGAAATGGTCAAAGAACTGCTAATCCAAACAGTTTAATCGTTAAAATGTTTGACCCAGTTAACGGTTCTCAAGTTACTTTCAAACTAATTCCAATTTTTTATTTATTTTAAAAATATAAATTAGAAAATAAAAAAAATGATAAAAAGAAACTTTCATATCTCCAAATCTTGTTCGATTATTTCAAATGGCCAAAATTAAATAGGGTATTTAGTTATTCCATTTTGATTTTGAGTTTTCTCATTGATATGATTCTTCTTAAGTTGAAACAACAAAAAATCATTTCTATGATTTTGATGCAAGAGATGAGAGATCAAACACTGATCTTATATTAAAATCTAAGATACACTAATGATTCAAATGATCTAGGATTTGAGAGAGATGTAAGAAGAGGGCAAGCGTTGTTGTAGCGATGGTTGAACTGTTGACTCGGAAACCAAAATCCAAAGCGGTTCCATTTTTGTGTCAATTTTTAAAACATTGATTTTAGTCAAAAGAAAGTTCAACAATCTTATTTATATTTTTAATAATAGTGTAAATATAGAATTATAGATGTCTTAATTTTTTTCTATATTTGTTTTATATTTTTGTATATAAATAATTCCAATATGTCACACTTACTTTTTGTTTAATATGATAATTAATTAATATTATACATGTGCCTGAATGTTTTTTGCAACACTTATGTATTTTCCTTTTCATTTTTTCATTTTTATAATTTATTAATTTTTATTATTTATTTATGACACTAAATGTTAATACATTTGACCCAAAAGTTGAACTATTGATCTTTGCCAAATAGTAAAATAATTTTATTTTGGTCAGTTCTAAAGTATGTATTTCATTTTCATTATCAATAAAAATAATTCTTTTATTACACTTGCTTTTAATTTGATTAATAAAAATATCATAAATGTGTCTAATTTTTTTCTATATTTTTGTAATTTTTTATATTTATTTCTATTTTAAAAATTTATTACCTAACTATGACTTCGTAGGTTTATCAATTTGACTCAAATAGTTGAATTGCTTAGCCATCACTTAGATAAATAATTTTTTGGGGAATTTCCCATCTCAGTAGRAGCTTTCCAAAGAAATAGCTTAGTAGCCACATTAGCAGCGCTTGGGATGATTTTAGGCGCGGCGTATTCCCTTTGGCTATATAATCATGCGGTTTCTGAAAATTTAAACCTTGATTTAGCCAGTTTTAAAATATATGATTTGATATTGTTACAAATATTGGGATAGATCTAATTAGTATCATTTATTGGTGAAAAATAATTTAAATATAGGATTGAATAAGAGAAAATGAGAGTTAATACCTTTTAAGTACAAGACTTAATTAGAGGGGATTAAATAAGGTGGAAAATAATAATTGAAATTATATTTTCAATCCTTACAATTAGAGATAGATTAAATGCACAAATATGACTATTATAATAGCCATTAAAGTTATAATAAATTGACTTTCATACCCTTTCTTAAAAAATAAAATAAAAGGTAATTTTAGTCCAAAAAAATTACACACTACATTCACACTTTTATATATAGTATAGATATAGATAGTCATTCCCTCCCTTCTTGGAGATAAAATCTCATTCCATTCCAATTTCTATTTCCTGTGCCAAACGAACTATGAAAATAAATTATTCCAATTTCAAATATTTCATCCTTAATTAATTTTTGCACATTAATTAAGCCGAATCAAGCAAAAATAGCTAATAATTTTGCTATTTTTTCAACGGTCAACGATGAATAATTTTTGTTCGAAATTCTAATTCCCTGAGTGTAACTCGTAATTCAGTAATTGGATTGGCATGAAGCCTAGTTTGATTGATGGGTTAGATTCGGACAATTCCATTTTAAAAAGGAATGAAAATATAAAATCTCCAAAGTTGAAATTAAAGTTAATGAAAGTTTTACGTCAGAAGGGAGTCTAGTGGAATTAAACAAAATCGGTGGGTGCCACAAGTGAAATTGGGACTCGACATCTCTCATCGCTACTCCCGCCTGCCATGGTCTTCCACCAATTCATGCTCCGTCTCTGACCACTAAATCACCCCTTTTCTTGGACATTCAACGTTTAAGTGCATGACATGTGTTAGCTAAATACCTTGTCTCAGACCGGTTCGATCATTTCTATTTAAAATAATTGACTAATTGTCCGTCTCTGTAAGTCTAATACCTTACCCGATCTTCAGCGTTGGAATTGTTGCAGTAAGACAAAGAAGTTGAAATGCAGGCCGTGAAGGAGAAGCTCAGCGACATGAACGCTTTGCGCAAGGCCAAAGCCGAAGCCAAGGCAGAAGAGAAGGTATATCCCATTTCTGATTCTCTTCTTCTTTGCTTTTAATTGTTACTGTAGAGAGAATAATTAATATATAGTTATAGACTAAATACCCCATGCTTCTTATGCATTTTGCTTGTTTGGTGGTGGGTGCCTGCGAAATTGCAGGCGGAGAAGGAACTGGCAAGGAACCGAGTGGAGATGGCACACGAGTTGAGGAAGGCAAAGGAGGCAGAAGCTGAGATGCAGCTTCATGCATCCAAGGCCGGACAGAAGGCCGAGGCGGAGACCACAAAGCGCTTGTCCGGCTCCCGGTCCAAGTCCCAGCCGTAGTTCATACATGCAAGAACCCATTATTGGCCGGTGGCCGACGTTGTTGCTGTGCTGATGTCCATTGATCTGGATGGCCCCGCTAACACTGACGCGGTCACTGCCACAAATAAATTCCTGTAGATTACTGTGCTTTCTGATCATGCGTGGTTGTTATTCTCTCCGGCCGGCATGGTTGTTATTCTCTCCGGCATCGGAGTGGTCCAACATTGGAAGTGTACATGTAGTTAGTTGCAGCTGTTGTTATATATGGAAGTAAATTAATTCCTTAATCCTTATAGCTAGCCAGGTGGCTACGACTCTATGAATCTGTGTTGTGTAGTGAATGTGCATCATATTTCTTTCAATGATTTAAATCATTTAACTATATGCGTACTGGATTGGAATTTGGAATTAATATTGATGAGATATTATTAAAACCCGTCTAGACAAAGAGAGACTTGGAGAAAAGACCACGTACTCATTAACGTCAAGGAAAAATAACAGAAACCCAACACAACTTAGCATCCATCCAAGAAAGAGACAGGGGATACGGTACCGACAAATTATTAAGACCGCCTTGAGTTTTCATTTTTCAACACAGAAGATGAATGAATTAGCCGCGACCACGTTTTGGCGTGGCGCTAGGCGGAGGTAGTAAGATTTGCATGCCAGACGCGTGGCAAATGTCGTGGCAATGCTTCAAGACTCACAGAAGCAGAGAAGAGATCGAGACCCCAAACTTCCCATATAAAAGAGATCTAGAACGGGAGAAAATTAATTAAGAGTACTGCTGCAGATCGACGAAGGAGATCAGATCCTCTTTTGGTGGTTGACAAGATCTAGTAAAGGAGATAATATGCAGGCAGCCAAGGAGAAGCTCAGTAACATGGCCAGTGCTGCAAAAGAGCGCGCCTGTATCTACAAAGCAAAGGCTGAAGAGAAGGTGATATATATGATTTGGTGTGTGTGTGTGTGTGGATTATCTGTGTTTTGTTAAGCACTGCACTTGATTAGCTTTTTTTTGTTTTCTCAGGTAGAGAAGGCCGCAGCGAGGACTAAAGAAGAGAAGGAGATAGCCCGAGAGCGGAGGAAGGCTAAAGAGGCACAAGCCAAGATGGAGTTGCACCAAGAAAAGGCTAAGCACAAGGAGGAGAGATTGAATGCAGAGCCACACACACATCATCATGTAGAAAACGTTCCAGTTCCAGCAGCATCTGTTTACGATAATCAGCATGTACACCGTCCAATATTAGGCACTGCGGCACCCTCCACGGGGATCAATAAGACCACTGCTCTGACTTATCCCTTGGCAAAGGACCCTCCGGCTGCTAATGGGAATTACATATAGATGTCCTGTGATCCTATATACCATGTTAATCAAACTATATATATACTTTGTCTTTTTGCTTGTTTAGCACATTAGAGAGAGAGAGAGATGGTGGGGAATATTTGGAAGCTGGTCGGGGTGGTGTTTGGCATTGATTAATTCTTCTTTCAAAGAGAACAGACAGAGGCACTTTATGAGTGTTAGTGTCTCTACTCTATCAGTGCTCCACGTCACATGACTCGAGTACATATAGCTAGACTACTCGAGTACATATGGTTAGTGTCTCTACTGTATATTTTATTCTACTGTAGAATTGAAATTCAGAAGCAGTTCAGATAATTGTAGATGTCAATACATACATACAGTAAATCGAATGCAATTGAAAAGATCCATCCCTACATTTTTCCGTATTTGAACTATGGGGATATAACTTAAGCACAGTCCTTTTTCCGGGGAACTCATTACGTACTCATGGACCCTTACTTGTATCCTCCAACAAAATTTTTTATATCTACCCTCCAATAAAATTAAATTCTCGATACTGTAATACAATTTTGGTTCTCAACTTTTAAATGATACAATAATTCAGTAACCGAAACAATCCCATAGGCTAATAATACTGATCGGAAATTTTCTCTAAAATTAAAATGGCATCACGTCTTTCAAACTTTTCATAACTAACGGGAAATAGATTTTAAGGCCCGGTTCTTTTTTCAAGATTCATGTTTTTTTTTTTAGGTAAATAAAGAAATGGCTATTTTAGTCAGAAAAATTTATTATTAACTATATATATATATGTGTGTGCATGTAATAATATATATAATTGGATTGGACTCGAATTGGGTTCGAACATTGAAAATCCAAACCCTCGTTGGTTCACCCAAATTGCAACTCTAATTTATAAATAAATTTGGGAAAAAAAAAAAAACATGAATATCTTAGTGCAAACCTTAAATAAATTTGTTATAGGTTTTCATATAAATTTGAAAAAAGTTAAAGCCTCTCAAGGACAAGAGAGCGGTGGCTCCAGCAACATCTACCCTCCCTCGACGATAGACCAACAGTGAAAGAGGGTAATTAGATAAGACAGTTCATGGAAGAATATAGGATAATCCGTGCAAAGGTGACGTGAGTATGTGGGGTTTTAACTCGCTACAGTTCATGCAAGGATATAGGATAATCCGTGCAAAGGTGACGTGAGTATGTGGGGTTTTAACTCGCCCCCTCAAGCGATGCCGTGGTAGTCATGGAGAGCTTGTCATGGAGGAAGGAGAAGCTGCGAACGTGCAGAGGTTTGGTAAAGACATCTGATTCAACTCAACATGCTTGTTGCAAGAGTGTTGGACGGGATTGGAAGCAAGGTAGTTGGCACCGATATTGTCACACCACAAGACTAGAGAGGAAGTGGGAGAGAAGTTCGTGAAAGATTTGTACTCTGCTGGATCTGGAGATAGTGGATAGATGCAATAGCCGCCATGAGACCATCGGTCATCAAGCGAACCAGCCCAATCCGAATCACTATAGCCATGAAGCTGAATCAAGGGAGAGCAACGAATATGAAGTCCAAGAGTGTAGATGTGCTTGAACGTAGGATACGCTTGACAACAGCCCAATGGTTAACCGTGGGCTTGGACATAAATTGAACCACCTTGTTCACAGAGAGAAAGTCAGGTCTGGTCGAGTCACGGTCAAGTACTGTAGAGCACCAATAGTGCTTCGGTACAACGTTGGATCATCAAAGATGTCAGAATCATCAAGGAAGAGTTTAGTAGAAGCCACCATCGGAGTGATGCACGGTTTAGCATCTATCATGTGAGTGCGGTGAAAGAGATCCAAGGCATACATGGATTCAACAAGAGTAGGGCTGGAGCGAGTGATGATGATATCATCAACATAAATGAGCACCAAAGTAACGTCACGAGCAGTGTGATGAGAACAGTGAAGCATCAGCCTTCGACTCAATGAAGTCATGAGTAACTAAAAAATTGTGTAGCCGAGTAAACCAGGCTCGTGGAGCATGCCGTAAGCCGTAGAGAGAGTTGTAATCGACAAACATGATCGGGGTAGGATGGATGCTGAAAACCGGGTGGCTAATTCATGTAGACTTCCTCGGTTAAGTAGCCATGAAGAAAAGCGTTGTTGACGTCCAACTGACGGATGGACCAGGACTTGGATGTAGCAATGGAGAGAACCAACCTAATTGTGCAAGGCTTAACAATCGGGCTTAAAGTATCTGAAAAGTCAATCCCCTCTTGCTAGTGATACCCTTTGGCAACGAGACTTGCTTTGTATCGTTCAACGGTACCTTCAGTGCAGCGCTTAATTTTGAACACCCAATGGCATCCCACAATATTTTTGTCTTGTGGCGGAGGAACAAGAGACCAGGTTTGGTTCTGAACCAGCGCAGAGAACTCGATATTCATGGCATCATGCCACTTCAGATCATGCACGGCTTGAGTAAAGGAGGTGGGCTCAATGTCAGTGGTGACCGAAGTGAGAGCATACCTGGGATTCGGTATGAAGACCCCAGATTTGGAGCAGGTTTGCATTCCATGAGTAGGAACAGAAGTAGAGGAAGAGGAGGCCATCGGATCCGGATCTGGAAGTGCAAGAGGAGTGATGGTGCTATTGGACTGCATCATGAAAGACTCAAGGGAGTCCACAGGAGAGTGGGCTAAGGGAGAAAGAGAATGGACCGGTGAGGAGACTGTAGCGGGATGGGAGAGGAGTGGTGCTGCAGTAGTAGGTAGCTGATGGCACGGGCCAGAACTGGTGGCAGACCCAATAGAGAGGGCATGTCTTGAGAGCATGAAGTCGTGCTATGTGGAAAGGAGCCATTGCTGTAAGAAAAGGATGTCTCATCGAAGATAACATCATCAGAAATGTAGAGACGACCAATAGATTTGTGCAAGCAAAGATAACCCTTGTGACGAGAGCTATATCCGAGTAAAGTGCAGCGAAGAGTATGGAAATCAAACTTGTTACGGTTGTAGGGACGCAGGTTGGGGTAGCAATCACAACCAAAAACTCGAAAGCGACAATAATCCGGGGGACGTCCAAAGAGCAGCTCGTATGGAGACTTGTGAACAAGAAGCGGGGTCAGAAGGCGGTTGATTAACAAAACTGATGTGGCAAAGGCTTCACTCTAGAACTGTTGAGGAAGTTTGGCATTGTTGAGGAGTGTCAGACCGGTATCAACAATATAGCAGTGTTTACGCTCGGCAACACCATTTTGAGCGTGAGTGTGTGGACAACTACAGCGATGGACGATACCGTGTTCCTGTAAATAAGCACGGAAGTTGCGGTATTTGCCCCGTGTGTAAGGTTTTGATGGGCCTATTCAATTGTTTTTCAATCATGGTCCGAAAACGAATAAAAGTATACAATGCTTCAGATTTCTTATGCAAAGGAAAAATCCAAGTAAATCTAGTAAAAGCATCAATAAATTCAATGTAGTAACGGTGGCCATTATTGGAGGGCACAGGAGAAGGCCCCCATAAATCAGAATAGACAACATCTAAAGGAGCAGACACACTAATTGATGAAGGTCGATGAGACTTTCCACGAACACAAGAAGAGCAAAAATCTGAGACAGACTTGGAGTCAACTGGTAGGTGGTGCTGCTGAACAATCTGTTGAACTACACGGTGTTGAGGATGTCCAAGACGTCATTGGCACCTGTTAACAATAGTACATACCCCCAGCATGGCCACAAGTCCTTTGTTCGAGCTACGGGAGGAAACAGAGAGCTGATAGAGGCCGTCTTTAATCAGCCCTTAAAGGATTGTGTCCCCCAAATTTTGTCCTTCACAACAAAACCATAATCATCAAATTCAAAAAGGACATTATTGTCTTGGCAAAACTAACGAACAGATATCAGATTTTTGGTGATGTCAGGTACATGAAGAATATTTTTTAAGTGCAATATACAGGAAGAGGTATGAAGAGAATTATGTCCAATATGTTTGATGTCCAAACATGTCCCGTTACCTACGGCTATCTTGTCATTGCCATTGTAATTAGACCGAAGAGAGAGATTGCCAAGATCGACGGTAAGATGATTCGTGGCACCAGTGTTGGGGTACCAATCGCCATCAGATGATTCCAGGGTATTGGAGGCAACGGGGACCTTAGACGGTGGATTACCTCTGGATGCCTGAAAACTGAGATCAAAGCGGTGGAAGCAAGAGAGAGCAGAATGGCCAACCTTGTCGTATACCTGGCAAGTGACCTTTGGTTGAGATGGAGTGGTGTTATTGTAACGTCCCTTACCTCTGCCACCGCGACCACCCCGGTGAGAGTTGGGTGGGCGAGCTCCTGGTTTATGAACAACTGAGTTGGAAGAGAGTTGAGTGTCAGTGAGAGTAGAGTGTTGGCGGTTGAGGCAAAGCTCAAACTGATGGAGGAGACTATGAAGTTCTTCGAGAGAGAGAGGGTCATGTTTGGTGGTGATGGCAGTGATGAGTGGATCATAGTCTGGTCCCAGACCTCCTGTGGTGTAGAGGATGATGTCATTGGACGAGAGACCTTGGCCGGTGGCTTCAAGGGCATCTGTGTAGCCTTTGACCTGTTGGAGATAGTCGGCCATCGACTTGGAGCCTTTTGTGGAGATGATGAAGGTCATTTTTAAGTTGCATGATCATGGCTCGTGAGGGAGAGGCATATATACGAGTCAAGGTCATCTATGCATCATGAGAGGTTCTACAGCCAACTACCCGAGCAAGAGCTCCTTCAGTGAGTCGCAAGCAACCAGCTAAGCAAGAGCTTGTCTTGGATCTGCCATGAGGTGAACGTTGGGTTCACGGTTTTGACACCGGCGATGTCTGTCGTATCATCGAGGAACTGAGGGGGACATTGGGAAAAGCCATCGAGATAGCCGAACAGGCCCAATCCTTCTAGCATAGGTTGGTACTGGGCCTTCCACAACAGGTAGTTGTGCTTATCTAGTTTGACGGAAATTAAATTGGCAAGATTGCCGAAGAGGGAAGGGAAGGGAGAACAGAAGGAGGAAGAGAGTGAAGATGGGTTGGCGGCCATGGCTCTGATACCAAGTGAAAGAGGATAATTAGATAAGAATGGTTCAATGTATTACTGATTGATCAAGGGTTTAAATACAAGGTTGTTGGTTTACAGGATAAGTACATTAGTTAGGATAACTCTATCTCAAGTAGAGTTTGAGATAAACTATGACTCTAGAGGATAACAATTATCAAGCGTTACAGTCCATGCAACGATATAGGATAATCCATGCAAAGGTGACGTGAGTACATGGGGTTCTAACTTGAACTTAGTATATGCATGTTTGGTATTGATGCTGCAGGTGCTGTTGATGTGTGGGTTGGAAGTACCGTTTCCTGAGAAAATAGTGTTTTTTTTTGTTTGGAGTAAAATGTTTCCTGGAGCATGTTTCAAAAAACGTTTTTAGCATTGGTATCTATTATCCAATGCCACATCATGTTCCTGTCACTGCCACCTCATATCCCTGTTGCCAGCAACGAGCTGCAGTTTCAGAAAATGCCAAATTAGGCATTGCTTTAAGCCACGCCTTCCCGATTTCCAAAGTATGGCTTAGAATACCATTTTTATGAAAAAAAGATTCCAAACAAATAAATGTTTTTTGGAGCACCATTTTTTCTGACATAACACTGATGTATCACGGTTTTCTGGATGCTCCTTAGAAAGAGGTCTGCCTGATGTTGGATATCACGTAGTGGGGGAGCCCTTCTGATAGCTTAGCACGGAATAGGTAAGTGTAGTCTACGATAGTCGATAGGGGACTGAAGTTCCGATGGGATGGATGCTTCCTTGCCAATGGGGTTTGCAATGACAACTCTCATGCCTCTTATTAGGTCATTGCAACCATCAAACTTAAAGGGAGGTTTCAATAACGGTCAAACACTTGAAAGGTGTTTCAACAGTTTACCCTTGATCTTACATGGAGGTAAATTCTACAACGATAATAAGGTCTGGACAAAATGTAAGACGCGTTTAACTGTGATGATCTTATGCGTCCGTTGCACTATATAGCAAAAGACTTGATTGAATAACCGTGACGATAAGCACATTTTTCTAAACATGGACCAATGAAAAAGTAAGCAAACTTTAATATGATTAATTGGGATCTGAAGTGAACGTAAAGCTAATATTTGTGAATGCACTTGAACTCCTAATAAAGGCCATTATTCTTTTGGCATTGATAAGAAGCTATTTGGTATTTTCCTATAAACTGTTTCATTCTTTGTCACTTCTATGGTTTTCAAAACTGGACCGGACCGAACGGTTGGATGGGAAAAACCGGGAATCAGTTATTTTACCGGTTCTGTTTTCACTAAAATCAGATTTTTGCCAAAAAAATGTTAATTGGTCAATAACCCACTGATCTAGGTAGTTGAACCGTTCAAACCATTAATTCAATGATTCTGACCTTTTTTTTGTTAGAACAGGCTGATCATTCGATTAGAATGGTTGAACCGTTCAACCCAGGAACCAAACCTCTAACCAACTTATTATCCGGGTCGGTTTTAAAAACCTTGGATAGCCCTATATCTAGGATTTGGGCCTCCTAGTTTTGAAGAATAATATGGAGGGGAAGTGACAATTTGATAACGCTGAATCGGGCTCTAAAGTCTAAAAAACCTAATTTTCAGACTTCGGTCTTGTTTGAGATGCTACTTCAAAACAAGATCTAAATCAAAAACTCAAATCAATTTTGTTAAGTTGGTGGCCCATCACGGAACATGGTCAGACATGTTTCAAATGTGGGTCATTTACTAGTTTGTCATCCAAACTTTAAACAAGTTATATGAGGTACCCCTCACATAAATAGGTGATATTTCTACCATCATTTTGGAGTAGATTCATCATTTTTTTATTCTTCATTTATCCTATACATTTTATTATACCATTTGCCTCATTCAACTTCCCTATTTTGGTTTTTGCATACAACTGGAGCCTTAGATTCACCACCCCATTTGGGAGCAGGTATGTTTTACTACTCTTCCTTATTTTTTCCTATTCCATTCATCCTTTGGACTTTCCTTTTCATTGTTTCTCCATTTTTTCCAATTTTTTAATCCTTAAAAGACATTTTGAAGTAATTTTTTGCTATTTTAATTTTTTAATACTATTTTAATAATTTTTTAGTAATTATTTATTGTTTTTTAATTGTCTTTAATAATAATTAACCATCCTGTTAATATTTTTATGAAAGTTGTCTTGGGCTATCAAATCCAATCATATTTTTCAACGTTATCAAACTCCACCTAAGATTACAAATAATAATAATAATAATAATAATAATAATAATAATAATAATAATATTTTATTATTATTATTATTATTATTAATGAGCATATGAAACAACTTCAAACATTTTATTAATAGAAAGCATATTTATATTATGTGTGGTATATCTTAGTTTTGGAAACCATAGTTTAGTAAAACCATAAGGTATATTTAAGTAATAACCCAATAATATATATATTGTTTAGGACCATTTTATATACCCATTTTTTTTCATAATCCCATTTTTTATGAAAAAATGGATAAATGCACTTATTTGTCGGTTTATACATCGGTTGGTTTCGGTTTGTAAGTTTTCAAATTTTGAATATTTGAATCTACTCAATTTATTTTTACCATTTCCTTAGGCCTTGTTCATTTACAACTTTACAAGCTATCTGGATAAATGCACTTATTACATAGGTAAATTCACTTAACCATATTCTCTCAAGTTAGTATTTCAAGATTCCCATACATATTTACCGATAAACGAACGAGACCTGAATTGAAACTATGGGTTTTGGGCTCTTTTCATTTGAATCCATTTAATTCATTCATCAATAAATGATATTTATGTGCCAGTTTCATTTACCACTCATGTTGTATTCTCTCTAATTTCTGTATAAAGAAATAATGAAGAGACAAATTTCAAGAATTGGCATCCAACTGAATCAGAAAGCTAATTGTGTTATTGTCAGTGTCTCAAGATGTTATGAGTTTTAATGTGTTTTCTTTTGAATGATTTTCTGCTCCTAATTTTGAAGTTTGAGAGAGTCATCAAACTCTCTTGTTCTTGAATGGATTATCTACATTTGTTGCATAAACTTCATTATATACATCACATAATGTCACATATGAATAGATTGTTATGAAATACTAACAGAGACTAATGATAGGGGAGACTAAAAAATCTAATTTCCTCCCTTCACCGCCCATAGCAACCGATCCAGAAACCTCTACCTTTCCTCCCTTCACCGTCCACTCCCTACGTTGTCTATGAGCTAATCGAACCAAGCATCTGGTGTTGCAGCGGTGAATGTTTATAAATGTTTATGGTTGGATGTTCAGAATGGGTAGCCTTAAAGTTTATTCCGTTATTTTTAGGGGGCATTCTTTTTCTAGATTTTGAGAGTGAAGAAAGTTGGTCAATAGGATTTTGATTCTCATTAACCAAAAATCTCATTTTCTTTGTTCATATTCATGTGGGACAAGGAAAATTTTATTTTCCTGGGTATCACTTACCTAAGTGGGTAAATAACTTTTTTACCTTGGAAAAAAGTTACCAATAATTAAATAGGACAAAAATGTCCCTTGTAATAATAGATTTTTATGGATAAAATGATCATTGTCTTGTTTGCATGGGAAATAAAAGAACATAGATTAATGCATTTACCCAAATAAATGTTTCCTAGGAAAAACCTACCTGGGTAAGTGCATTTACCCGGTTACCAAAAAGATGGTTGAATGGTCAAGGAATATAAGTAGTTTTGCAAACACGAGGGTATATTTAAGTAACTTCTTAAAAGTTAAAACCACAGGTATATACAAATAACTATCCCTAAATAAATAGACAAAAAGATATATTAAGTAGTAGGATTGTCGAGATAAAGCCATTAGTGGGTTCCTCGTGTCTGTGACATGAAAATGAAATGCTTGCAGCATAAAATAAAACGCATGAAAAACATTCACAAAATTGAACCCTTGATTAAGTAAATTAAACACGGACTGGGTCCACAATTTCTTTCAAAATGATTAAAATTACAAAATTATTCGTAAAGAATAATTAGAGACATTTGTTATCCACACAAATTTGATGACAATCCACTCCCCCACAAAAGGCTGAATTACTTCTCCAGACTCCATACTTCAGTTTCTCTAAACCCACTGCAATCTTCCCTGGAACTCCACAGCCTGGTGGATTCTTCCATCAGTTACAGCTTGATTTCTCACCTTAGCCGGACGGGTGTTATGCTTCACTCCAAACCTTGGCAATGTTCTGTGATCATCCACAACAGACGAAAACTCTGGTGAGACTTCATCCAAGAACTCATCTGCCACGTCCCCATCTTCATCTATCCTTAGGCACCTTGCGTACCACCTCAAGCCCTGCCAATGAAACCAAAAATAAGTATCAATCAACAAAGAAAGGAATAAGATAAGAATAACTATGAACAAGGTTACGAAACAGAAATTATTCACTTGTCAATATTTTTAGCCCAGCCTCCATCCATCTGTGAACTCCCATTTTGAATCTAAATATACCATTAAGTTCATTAAGTTCATTTAATACTCAATTCAATTTTCTTGTAGGTTCTGTACGAAAGGTCTCTAATTTTCCACAAGTAAATTTTCATACAGAGATTGTCCTCCATCTTGCAACACTATATTTCTCAATATCCAGGTTGGTTTTCCAAGTAAAACACCAGAAAAATTAACATTGTGTGTTCATTTTCCTATGGAATGTCATTTTCCAAGGATAGAATTTGTTTCCCTTCATTTCAGGCCCGAACAAATGTAGCCTAAAACTTAAAATTAATGTTTGAGGTATCATACCCCACAATTGATAATTCAATTTCTCCAACATTCTACATATATTCATAAAACCATAAGAAAGCATCTTAAATATTGATATTATCTTTCAGTGGTACAATAACAATAGGATTGCATAATTCCTTCTTGTATGAACAGAATATTACTATTTATTGTATTGTAATTTTTTTGCAAAGGATAAGGTAATAGGTATCATATATTAGAGAAGAAAAGGAAGAAAGTATACAAGAGGTATACAATAAGAAGCCAGCCTGGCTTCCAAAACACCACTCCCAACCTGAGCACACACTCGCTCAAAGACCACAGACAACAAAACAAAACAACCACAAGAGAGTAACTAATCCAAAACCTCTAACAAGCCTAGACCCAAAGGCCAAAAAAACACAACCCCAAACAACCATGTCCAGGCTGGAGGACAGCTGCTCTAGCTGGCCGAGTTGTTTCTGCCTCTGCCTCTTCTTCCCCTCCCCCTGGTGCTGCGTACCCCCTCGGGACGGAGGAGTGAAGGCCGGTAAGTCATAACAATCCATCAGAAACTTGGATTTTCTGCTCCCGGACGGACGCAACGAAGAAGCAGAAGAGGAATCCGACCATGAGCTTTCTGTCTCCACATCTGTACCCATTTCTGAATATAAATTGGATTGTAAATTTTAATACTCATCTTTTACAAATTGTTTAATATGGGGGTATTGGCTAGATCAATATATAGTTTTCAAGGTGCCAAGGTGAGGCTAGGCGACAGGGGGGTGCCTTGTCACCTAGTGGCCTAGGTGATGGATTTTTTTATGTAGAAAACATAGATCCTAGGGTGTTCCCTAGGTACTATAACCATATTTCTTTAAGAATTATTCATAATTTTCATAAGAAAAGTACAGAGTTCATGTTAAAGTATAGAAAATCAACATATTCATGAGAAGAAAAAGAAGAARGAAAAGAAAATTTAAAAAATATAGGGGCTGAACCCTTATTTTTGTTATAGGAAAAGAAGAAAAGAAAATGTGTTGATTAGAAAATGTGTAGTGGTAGTAGTAGTAGTAGTAGTAGTAGAAGAAGAAGAAAATGTGTTGATTAGACAAAATTTTAAGTTCTTCCTTACTTATTGGTTCAGATTTTAAAGTCTTTGGGGGTTCAATACAGCATTTAGCAATGTTTATATTGATTAAACCCTAACAAAAAAGAAAATATTAAAAAGAAATTAGTATATAAACACACAAAATGAATATTTTAGTTTAATAGTGTCTATTTTATAATTATAATGTCAAAAAATAAAAAGTATTTTATAGTACATAGTACAAAACTGTTTGGCGATTAGGTGAGGCGAGCCTCAAAGGGTGCCTTGTTGCCTAGGCGTCGCCTTGACAACTATGGATAAGAATTATTGGCAGCAGTCTATGGAGTAGAGAAAGCTAAAGAAATGGGGATTACTAAGCTGATTATTGAAGGTGATTCAAAAGTAGTTGGGGCTAGTTGAAAAAAGGGGAAGGAATCATATGTAAGTTAAGGAATGAATTCAGGAGATTCAAGCAGATTTTAAAGATATGATGATCCAAATAAGATGGATTAGTAGGTCTGCAAACAGTTTGGCTAATGGTCTGGCAAAGCAAGGAACTCAAGGACACTCTATGTTCTGGGCAATTCTGTAAATAGTGAATAGTTTCTGGGTGGGCTTTGTTTTTGTGCGCACAAATCTTTGTTGCACCTCCTTTTTAATCTAATGAATCAATTTTGTGTTGCTGATAAAAAAAATAGGGGTGAAACAGGATTCAATTGGCCAACCTCATATCATTGAGATAAGGCTTAGATGATGATGACGATGACAACTAAGAAATGCCACTTGTACAGAGAAACAAATCATGTCTGCATGGAAGCCTTCTACTAATAACCATAAATATATTGAAGTTTTGTCCAATTCAATAACCATAAACAGACTACATTGCTTTTTTTTGTTACAAGATATATACCATAAGAATTAAATGGAAAAAAAAGAAATTTTGAAACAGATAAGCTGCCCTTCTGTGTAAAGAAGCCTAATGAGATAAAAAGCATATGGCTGACTAAAAGATAAAGATGTTGATACAGCAGCTGGATCTTGGCTGGAAGTATTGAAAAATATCATAGCATACCAATCAATACATAATGGTTTTTGAGGTCACCAATATGCTGAATAGATGGAATTAGGTTATAGTTTTACTTAATATTAGGTTTCACATCATATCATATCAACTTACAATTTATCAAACTTCAAACCCAAAAAAAATTAAAAAAACAAGTGTTTCAATTGAATGAAACTCTCAATACGTGATTTTTGCATATCAAGAATATCGATACTTTGAACCAAGGATAAGATCCAATCCCTTTTGGAAAACCCAAGAAGTAATACAAGAGACTTTCAGCCCAGAAGACCCAGGAGAAATTCTATAGAGAAAAACCTCAAGTGAGGAATTTGGGAGATAGGTGGTGATGGGGCATACAAGTTACCTATGGTTCCTAATCCTAATAGACCATGCAGCTCAATATTGTTACTCAATTATTAAATCATTAAATGTTAACCAGATAAGTCAACTAATATGTTTTGATGCAACCATAACTCCATAAGATAGATAAACTATCAGCTCAAACATTTAGTGTAATGTTATTTATAACATGTCTTAAAGATTCTTTACTTGGAAAGTATTTCTGTTTTATTTTTCAGTACTCAAGCTAGTCAGGTTTCTAGAACTGGTAATTTAAAGTGGGGCATGATCCATCCTATTAAAGTGATGTTCAAAAGTCAATTCAATAGCCAAGTCCAATTAAATTTAGGCATTCAGAGCTGGATGGCCTAGCTTAATATTTGTAATCAAATTTTTAAACTTTAAAGACAACCAAGGTTTTAAATATCGATACAATAAATCCAATACAGGGTGTATCAGTATCAGTGCAAAGAGATACAGGATATGTTACGAATAGAAGTGTACCCTATAAATTGCATTGTGTCAGCCGATACACACTGATACAGACCAATACATAACACATTTCTATTAAAAAATGTCTATATAGCATGATTTGAACCCAGGTCACCTAGTGCCTAACACCAAAATCTTAAATGCAGCTTCAAACCACTAAGTTATCTTGTGTTTTGTAATATTATTATATTAAATGAAATAAAATAACTTTCATTAACTTTTGTGTCCATATGCAATCCAAATAAACAATAAATATTTATGTTCAACAAACTCCAACTAAAAATTAAAAGGAATAATATACTTATCAAAAAAATTAAAAGGAATAATATTTAAAATTAGTATTTTATAAACAAATGGAATAAATAATCTACCAATTCGATATCAAAAGATGATTTTTTAATCTCTTGAAACTATAAAAATAAAATATTAATAATAGAGTAATGATTTTAGTAGTTAAAATTTATAAATTTGCAAATGATACATATCTTAAAAATTTTAACAGATTTGAAATATTTTAAGATTATATATTTTTAAAGTTATTAATTTACATTTGAGAATTTAATATTTGGTCGGCTTGTTGTTAATGTTAAAAAATAAAAATAGTGAAGTAGAAAATAATTGATATAATAATTAAAATATAATAGGTGCAAATGTTGTGTCTCGGACTCTTGAGTGATGCATTATATGATATCTATACATCCCGTTATATTAGTTGCAATGTATTTTTTCATATACACCATTAGAAAGTACATTTCCTATGTATTTATACATTATTTATGGCTATTTTACCTTAAATTTAGTGTTATTATTGTATTTATGGAATTTGTAGTGTTTCCCTAGTGTATTCAAGCATTTCCATATTTTTTATTCGCATCCATCTGTTTCCAAAGTGTATCTGTATTTATATCCATATCCAATTATCTGATACAATACCCGATACTGATACTTTGATCCTTTGAAGACAACCAAAATACAATAGTCAAGACTTTTTCTATGATTTTGGTTATTTGCGAAGTAATTCAGCAGGAAATGATGAACATTAACCATCGCAACCTTGAAAGAAAATGATATTGTTCTAGTTTCAACTTGAACTTGTCTGATACTCAAAGTACTTCAGATGAGGTCTTCTCCCAATTTTGCACCCACACAATCATCAGTGTTTTAAGCAAGAAGTACAACTAAAATGCAAAGAATCCTAGACTAGAGGCTGAGGCACAGGGCAAGGGACCAGCTTGAATGAAGTTAAGCATACAGGAATTTGTATACCTTCTCTACATCTTTTGAAGGGAATCTCTCCCTGCTAATATAATCACAGATTTCAATATATATAAGAATATGAATATCTAAATTCTAAAACAAATAAAATTTTCAAAAAGCGTATTAGCTTAATTGGTTAGGTCATATCCAGTCCACCCCCATTGCCTTGAACATTCAAATCCTACATGAGCAATATTATGGAGAGAGAGAGAGAGAGAGAGAGATGGAAGAGTGTTTTCTTGAGAAAGAGTCTATTTATCCGGGCAAGGAGGATTCAAGACGGTGGAAGGTGTGCAGAAATGGACAATTAACTGTAAAATCTCTCTATGCATTGATTCACAATCAGGGGACATA